AGAGGTTTCAGTAAAAATATTGTAGCTAGTACCTTAGGTAATGATAAATTTATAACTTTTTGGATATTTTTAGAAGAAACATTTCTTAGAATTTTATCTTCTTTACTTGGCCTATTTTTTATTATTATTTCCTATTTTTTATTTTTTTTATTTTTTTTAATTTTTTTTTTACTTCACATTTTTTTGGAAAAAAATTATTTTTTTATTTTTTACACTTAAAATATTCATCACCTTATAGTTGACCTATTTATCACTCTACTCTTAGCTTGCTTATATCACTTTCTTTATTCCTATCTTTATTTTTTTGTAATTTTTAATATATAATTTATTCTTTTTTTTGAAAAATATATTTTTTATGATGGATTTACTAAAGTCCATCATTCATGATAAAAACAATTTATACATTCAAAATAATATTAATATATTCCTTTTGTGTCAAATATAAAAATAATAGGATAAGAGTTTAATGAACACTAGACTTTTAAGTATAAACACTAATAAAATAAATTCATAATATTCAATCATTTTTTATAAGCTCCTCAATTAATATAAAGTACTGGTAACTAAATTTGAATGGAAAAGATATGAGATGAGAAAAAATATAGAATTATAATGCAATATTATATTTTTTTAGTCACTACAAAATATTATTAATGATAAGTTAAATAACAAGTGTAAACATATACCATGTTATAGGGTTGAGCATTTTTTATTCAATCCAGTTTTGAGCTAAAATAAACAACCAAACCATAAAAAAAATTAAACCAAACTAAAAAATAGTTTAAATTGATTAATTTTAGTTTAGTTTGGTTTTTTCCCTTTCCAAACTAGTTCAAAACCAAAAAAACCCCAACACGATGAAGTAGAGAGAAGTAGAGGATGAAAAATCCTGGTTGGCAGAGAGTGGATGGATAAATGATCGTTTGAGGAGAGGCTCGGTGGTCCTTTGTTCAAGAGAAGGATTGTTGAGTATGCGACCAAAGTCCCACATTGGTTAGAAATGAGGAGGATCAAGGGTATATAAGGATGGACAAATATCTCCATTGGTATGAGGCCTTTTTGGGTATAACCCAAGAACAAATCCATGAGGACTTAGACTCAAAATGGATAATATCATACCAATGTAGAGATAGGTGGTATCCATAATCCTTACAGCACTGACATGTCAACATGCGGTGACGTGTGTTGTATGCTGTCATAGCGGTGCTGAACTAGGAGGAGGCGTCGTCTTCAACTGTTGTGTTGCTATTGTTGTGACCGCCATTAACATATCTGAGGGAGGGACTGCTGATTGTTGCCAAAACAAAGCGGGAAAGGTTGCTGGTGTGTTGCAGCTATTGTCGGTGGCATGAGAAGATCTGAAGTGTTGGAGGCGTTACATAGAGAACTCTTGTGGTAAAGCCTGATCTTCTCTCTGATGGTTGCACGAGGGCAACGTCCTCTGCTATTGGTAGATGACCTTCGGTGGCTCTGATGGCGGCAGACCAGTCTGTATTGGCTGCAGATGGTGGATGTTTGGCTTAAAGAGTAATCTGTCTAGGGTTCAGAGATGCTGGATCCGTGTTAGAGGATGAACATTTTTCTTTTAGATCTCAACTGTAAACAAAAAGATTAAAAGAAATTTTTTTTCCAAAATCAATTGTTGATGATGATTCTATTCAATTTCAAAGTTTTGAAAACATGTTGAATTTTGAGGATTTTCACAAGCACTAAAAAATCAATTAACTATGAGAAGAATTAAAAACATCTGCTTTAAAATTGAAGTTGATGTGGGATAAAAAAGATTTTAAGCTAAAAAAAAGGTAAGAAAAAGCTAAAAAAAATAAAAGATGAAGAAGAGTCTGAAACTTCACAAATTTAATTTAAATAAAGCTAAAAAAAAGGTAAGAAAACGCTAAAAAAATAAAAGATGAAGAAGAGACATAGTAAGGGTTGGAAAAGTCTGAAACTTCACAAATTTAATTTAAATTTTATCAAAAACTGTCCAACATTTTTTTTAGAAAAAAAAACATACAAATTCTTAAACCATATCTAGAACAAACAATTGAATTTATAACCCCCTAAATTAAAGATCCAATAATAACTAAATTAAATCTAATAAATAAACTTAAATAAAATTCAATAACACAAGGATTAGATGATCATTCATCATCTAGAGCTAGATCTACAAACATGTAAAACCATAGCTCAGGTCTGATGTCCCCTTCATCAGGCCTCCATAAATGCTTTCCAAACCTTAACTTGTCCATATTACCAAGAAAATGTCCTGAAGGTCTCTCAAATCATACGATTATTTCATCACAAATTTGGGAAAAACAATCCTCCTCGCAAGCAAATACCATCAGCAAAACCTACTCGTTTGTTTCTGTTTTTCAGCAACATAACACACGGTTATGGGAAAGCATGAATAATGAGAGAAGAGGTACAAGGCTGCCACAGCAAGCCAGAAATCAGTATCAACTACTACCAGTAAACATTGACCACTTACAAAAACAGGATAACAGCAAGCTGAAGTTTATTTCATTAACAGAAATCGAAACCACTTTCTTAGGCAAGCATTCAAGGTGATCTTGTAGATCATTCAATAAATTTTGTTCTATGCCAAGATGATATGTTCTGAACGCCTACTACATGATTATGTAGATCATTCGATAGCACATTCACTTATACTATGGTTGCGGCACTGCAGTACTTTTAAGAAGGCTCAACAATATAATTTTCCAATGGCTCCCAATTGAGGCAACACATTCTTTGCAACGATTTACGTTTGTAAAGCTGAACAAAAATCCATAACATGGGAGAAGTAATGTGCGGGTAGAATTTCGAACAAACTAGCTCGAAGTCTGACTCAATAAATCCAATTGCAAATAAGAAAATAGCAAACCACAAGAGCCCGCCACAACCTAGTCCATTATTTTGCAAGAGAAGTAATTAAAATTAAGATGCAATTGAGTAAGATTTAGAACGCCGTCTCATCCATTTGTAGCTGAAAAGAGGTGAAAATACCAGCAAAAGTATAATTATCAACCCACAATTAAGCAGTAATTCCATTGATTTCGACGTTGTTTAAACACAAGACACAAATCTCATAGATGAAATGGAGTTCTATAAAACCAAAGGGACTGGTATAGTAATTCACTGATACGCCGGGGCATAAAGAGGACGCCTGTATTCATCAAAATACTCATCCCGGTCGATAAACACAATTGCATAGAGAGCATAAATTATTCCAGGAACGTAGCCTAAAATAGTGAGTAACAAGCAAATCCAAAATTCCACCTGAAAAAAAAAAACAGTATTGATAAGAACCCATTAAAGTTATCCATCAAATATATCCAAATTTTCAGATCTCTAAAAAAAAGAAGAATAAAAAGGGAGAGGCGTACACTGCAGCAGCCATGCCTGAAGCAAACACCGAGAGGAGGGAGCAAGATGGCGATGAAGATCTCGCAGCAGATCTCACAACGACTTGGCATTTTCTCTCGGCAATATTTGCGAAGGCTGATGATTCTAATCTAACAGGTTTGTTTGTAGTTGACTAAAGGGTTCCTAATGAGGAAGAAGACAAAGATGGGGGGCCTCATAATGTTGTGGGGGGTTATTTGGGAATTCAAGGAAACCTGTATCACCGTCAGAAAAAAAATATTATTCTTTTTCGTGGACACAAACTTTTTAAGCGTAATGTCGGTTTTGCCGTTGACCATTGGAATGCTGAGCTCTGCTTTGGAGGTCGTTTTTGGTTTTTTGCCTTAATTTCAACAGTTGAGAACAACCATCATATTTTTTCTCTCTTGTGTTGGGCGACGTGGCTGCGTGGCAACCATATTTGTCTTTTGACCTTTTGACTTCTTCCAGGAGTTACATTCTTTAACTCCACACGTGAGAGAGGCAACGTTGGAGAAGAAGAAGCCGCAGGGGGAGCTCCTTGCCATCGCGTCGGTCATGGTGAAGATTGTTACTGAAGGCGGCGCTTTTAGGATAGGGTGGAGGCTGTGATAAAAAGAGGAAAGAAAAAGGTGGATCCTTTGAAACCCTCTTTCTTTTATGGTCTTTTTCGATTCCCTGTTAGATATGTTGCATGCTTCTTTTTGGTTGCCATCCCTTTTAATTTAATTGTTTGCTTCTGAGAATTAGGGTTAGGTTCTTGGTTTTCCTGGTATGTTCGTCCCCTTTGACAGCCACTATACTTTGCAGAGCTTTGGCTTCCTCTCACTTCCAATCTTTTATCTCCTCCTCTACATGGTGTTAGTGCTACTCGAGTTCATATTTCCCTTTTTTCAGATTTTCATGGAGGGCTAGATCATGGCCGACCTCTCCCCTGTTCGATGGCAACTCCCAATTCTTTCATTTTTTATGAAGGGCTAGATCATGGGCGACCTCTCCCCTGTTCGATGCCAACTCCCAATTCTTTCATTTTTTATGAAATCGTGTTTCTTTGCATGTTTAATTAGGCTCAAGATCGGCATAATTTGAATCATAACTGTTCGTTTCAACAACTTAAGCACATTAGTGATGGTTTTTCATGAATAATAAGGGGTCATTTTTATTTATTTATATAAATCATTCTTTTGAGTGTAAATCTGAAGGGTTTTGAATGTTTTTTGTGATCAGTATTTGTGAAAGATATGGCTCCTCCGAAGGTTTACTTGTTTGATGAGATTGCCAAGCACAAGAAAACCGAGGATTGCTGGCCGAATATCTCTGGAAAGGTCAGATCTCTTTCTAAAAGTTTCAATTTTTTGTAGATTTGAGATCAAAAGGGGGCAATTCTGTTTGGTAGCTGAGAAAAATTAGTGTGAGATACAAGATGAGAACTTTGACTTGTTGTGGTTAGTTTTATTTACCCTTTTGGATTTTTTGTGTATTGAAAACTAAATATGTATCAGTGCTATCAATTTTATTGCATGATCAAGCTGTTAAAAGTTTATTTTTAATGCCTAGGACTGGAGAAGTTTGTTGAAATTAAAGGACTACCTTATCTAATGCCTTCTCTCGGTAAACAGTGAACCAGTAATATCAATACTGCATAAACTTGCTAGAAAACATGCCTAGGTTTATGGCAGTTCACTTATTATTCTCATGTCCATTGTCTGCACTAAATCAGACTAGCTCCATTACAAAATCAAATCCCAGCAGCATGTTCTCATAAGTAATTTTTAGATGTTTTTCTAAGTGAAAACTGAACAACACCATGCATTTAAAAATGAGCCTTTTTGTTAGCATCGCAGTGCAGTCCATTGGTCATCATTCATTTTTCTTGCATCTAGTCTTGTAACAATGCATGTAAAAATAAGCTCCTTCCACTCCTTTTCATCTTATATTTCCAGTTATTATAAACAACATTTTAGAACTCTTTTTTGCTGCTTCAACTCATCTGTGAATTGCTTGGCTGTTTAAAAATTAGGATAAACTAATTTGCTTTTGCCTAGCAAGCTAAAAGGAAATTAATGTACAAACAAAGCATACTCAATAAATTATTATGGATAGTCAAAGTTTTTTTATTGCTTGAATCAACCTTATTCTTTTCTTATTAGTTAGTAATTTATATTAAAGTCCAAAAAATATTTATTTTTTTAATGTGAAATTAGAAGTCTATTATATTTTATATTTATAAGAAGAAAGTTGTATTTTTTTAATATAGGATAAAAATATTAGTTTAAATACTTCAACTTAAAAGAATAAAATAATATATTTTTAATATAAAAAAATATTTTTAAATAATCTTTTAAATTTTATTATTTATAACCTATATAGTTTATATTCATATGAATTGATTTTTAAATTTTCTATAAAAAATATTAAAATTTTAAATATTTTTTTAACTTTTTCAGGTCAATTCATGTGATCTGGCCTGTTGTCTAGGCCAACTTTCAATATGAGTTTAATAACTATGCGCATGACACGGATTGATCAATTCATGTGATCTGGCTTGTTGTCTTCAATATGGGTTTAATAACTATGCGCATGACACGGATTGCAAGTGTAGTGAATTAGCTTGGGTGATTAGTTATTTTTAATTATTTTTTTTCAGTTTTATCCTTTAATAATTAATTAATTAGAAATTAGACTTAATAATTTGTTTTATTTTCTTTTTATTAAAATATTTTGATCTTATGATTTGGAAGAGTGCTTAATGGCTTAACCTGAATTTGCTTAGGTTATTTTTTATGTTTTTTTAATTGAAATCTTTTCTAATATTTTCATTTAAAATTAATTTATTTTTTATGAGAATATCTTGGTATCATGATGAGAGTCTTGGGTTTTGGTATTTTAACCCCTGTTAAATCAAATATTTTTTTTATTTTTTTAAGAAGTTATCTTAGTCTCGTATCTTTTAACATTAGATTTGTTTTTTATTGGGTTGTCTTTGTATCATGACTTGAGTTGTGGGTTTGACAAGATAACCCAATTAACTCAGCTTGTTTTTATAAATTTTATTGTTCAATATTAGGTCTGACATGATTGATTAAAAATTAAATTTTATAATTTATTTTGATTTATTTTTTATAGGATTATCTTAGTTTTATAAATTGTCATGAACTTGATAAATTGATTTTGATTGTTTTTTTATGTTTTTTTAATTTATTTTTTTTAGTCTCATCTTTCAATATTAGATTGATAGGATATTGAACTTTGTAATTTATTTTGATTTTTTTTCATGAAATTATTTCAGTCTTATGACTCGCGTCATGGGTATAAAGGGTTGACTCAGATTGACCTAAATCAATTTAATATATTATTATATTAATATTAAAAAAATATTATCTTGAAAAAAAATAAACAAACTATATTTTTACTAGTTATCTAATTATTTTTAAACCCGTAAAATCAATCAAATTATATTAAATTAATCATACATGATTTAATTTTTTATTAAAAAAATATTAATAGTATCTGAAAAAAGAATTTATATTTATATATATAAAAAAAAAACTTGCAACGTAATACGGGTAATGATCTCATGCCATTTTATTTTATGTTCACTAATTATACCTTTTATGTTATCATCTTCTACAAGGAAAAGAAAAGGGCAAAAAAAAGCATCAAACACGGCGGAATAGTTGAAAGGGCTCACGCTATAAGCTCGCCACTACATAAAAACTTTGACATGTTCAATGGCCATTGTTCTTCCACCGAAAGCGACAATGATAGGCGGATTGCTTGCTCTCTCCATCTCCATTCTCCACCCATTAGCATTATTGATGACTCGTGGCGTTAGTCTGAGTCTAACGCCTAAAGAACTTCCCAATCAAACAACAGAGCAGGGCCCATCAATTCCATCTCTTAAGGCATTTCCCTTCCTGGCCAACAGGCTAGATAACGTAGGAGAAAGGTAACATCTACTCTAGCAGATTACAGACCAGCCATATCTTGTCCAATTACAAACTATTGGCTGTTGCAAACACCATGATTACAAGTCCACGTTTCTTAATTTAAATATGGATGCCGCTGCCGGCCAAGAAAGACTAAAACGTTGAAATGGTACCAGCCTGTTCCACAACCAAATACAAGAGGCAAAGAAACAAAAATTGGGAGCCTCAAGTCAAGCAACCAAAACTTAAAGCAACTTTATGCAAGATTCCAAACAGACTGCTAGTTTTCCTTGAGAGCAACTGAGAGAAATGCTTACAAAATCTAATTAAGGGACGTTGAATGAGCACAAGTTTTGATTTCTGTGCAATTGACACCAATTTCTTCATTTCATCTATATTTATAATATATGGGGCTATTTTTTTTTCTTTACAACGAGAACCAAGAAAACGAGAATTAACCATTACAAGTTGAGGCAAGGGATACTTTTCAGACTAGCCAAAATATAGGCACCTACAACTGCAACAATAAGAATGGACTCGAACCCTCAACGCTACCTGATCCTTCCATGTAATCTTCCTCTTCCCTGCCCGGCTTGATCCATTCCCGACATTCCTACAAGCTGATAACTTCGTATCATTATGTAGCTCAGCACTACCACCTCTCATTGAACTAATCTTTAGCTCCTCTGTTCTCAACATGTCACCATTAGCCTTTCATCCTCCCTCTGCAATGAAGTTAAGTTACGCCATTAGCCCAAGACAGAAAGGAAATGCACGGTTTCAAAGCACTGTAGCTGATGACATTTGCTAAAAAAATACCGAGATTTCATTCAAGTCAAAAATTGGAGTATTATTTCGAACTGTGGTTTCCTTTCCTCTGTAAATCCTTTCCTTCTGGTTCAGGTCAGGGATTGGTGCTGTCTTTCGCAAAGCAGCCTCCTTTCCAATGTGAGTCATTTGCTTCTGGTTCAAGTCAAAAATTGGAGTGGAATTTCGCAAAGTGGCTTCCCTTTCAATGTAAAGCTTTCCCTTCTGGTTTAAATCAAAACGAGGAACTGGTGGTCTCAGAGCAGCATTATTTCTACTATAGCTCTTTTCCTTCTTTAAATTTTTGCTAGCAGGTACTAAGTTCTGTGGTTGCACAAAACTTCGCTCCATAGGGGCTTTCTTAGGCTTGTTTTGTGTCAAGTATTTGTATCGTCGTCTCAAAAACCTACAATTCACAAGATAAACACGACCCAAATTTCAACTTCAAAATCTGATTACAAGTCTATCCAAATCTAAAAGCATTTAAAGGCACGATAGTGTGTACTATACCTGACTTCAGCCATTAGGGTTATTTTTTTCTGTCTCATCATCTGTAATTTCCTTTTCTTCGCTTCTGTTTCCTGAGAAAGGATCAAAAGTATCAATCCATCTATCATTAACAGTTCTATGCTGAAACCCTTAGGTCTCAACATATGAAGTAACTAAAAGAGAAACAAAGGGATCCAAAAAGGTTTTTCTATTCAACATCAAAAGGAAAGGTAAGAAACCCATAAGATGGGAATTATCCTACCAGACATAAACAGGGGCAAAAGCATGTTCCCATAAACCACACTAATTATCAGTGTGAAAGCCAAAACGCATACAAGCACAGAAAAGATATAAAACCACAGACACCAAGAATTCATGAATTAAACCCAGGAACAGTTTCCGCATAATAAGTCAACTGATCTGTATGGAAGCTGATTAATGGCAAGAAGCATTCGAGATCATGAAAAGATCCCAAAATGTCACAAATCCACCCTCAGCGAGGCCTTATACAAGTATTTGGCTTCATTGAGAAGCCTACTTATCCTCTATAGCCAAACAGAGAGTATAAACCAAAGGAAAGAGAAGGTTTTAAGACTTCCCAATTTCTAGCTTAGGCAAGACAGATTTCACATAAACACTGGAACAAATCAAAGAATCAACGAAGTAAGTTCCTGTCTCTTGTTATTCTTGTTTTCCCCAGCAACCCAAAAAGCATATGAGCAAAACCCAACAAAGGAGATCTAACAAAACACCAGATCTAGAAACCCACAAAGAAAAAAGAAATTTTTGAAACCCCAGAAAAGATATTACCTTGTATAATTCCTCATAGTCCTGCATAAGACTCTGATGCTTGAACATGATCCTTGGATCTTCATACATGGTAGCATACGAAGGAGGAGGAGAGTCCGCAGCAGCAGCAGCCCCTTTCATCTTCTTCATGGTGTGATAGGAAAAAAACTAGTGCCCGAAACTGAAAACAAAGAGCTTTGTGTGTTTTATGGACAGGAGGAGAGTAATGGGAAGGAGAAAGAAGGGCAAGGGAGAGGAAATATAGGTAGGAAGAAGGCTAAGAGAGAATTTTAATGAGACGAAAGAAAGAGAGAGTGATGGACAAGATGAGATCGAGGAGGGTGATAAAGAAAGATGAGAGAGAGAGAGAGAGAGACGGGAAGGTTCTTGCTTTCCTGTTCTCTCTGTGAAACTCTGACCAAGACAAAGAAAACCCAAAGAAGCCCACATAATTCGGTGAGAAAAATGTTTTCTTTAGAGAGTTGAGACTTGAGACAGTGATGAAGATTGGATTTTTTAGGGGGGTTGCAGAAGGGTATTTCAGGCATACTGAATAATGGGTTTGTGAGGTAAGGTGGGTTTGGTTGGAGGACAGCATTTGAAGAAATCTACTACTACCACTACTAATCTTCCTATGATATCTTCTCTTCTACTACTACCTCTACTAATCTTCCTATGATATCTTCTCTTTTCTTTTTTTGTTTTTCTTCTAAACATAAATTTTGGTCCAGCTGGGCCATTGAAGAGAGAGAAAGAGAGAGAAAGAGAGAGAATTGGGTGGTGTGGACTCTTCATTGTTTTTGAGTATTGGGTGCGTGGAGTCTCCATGTCTCTTCTTTCTTATTTGGATGACTTGTGTTTTTTTAGCTTCTGTGTAGAGAGACAGTGAAAGGGTCCTTGCGAGTGTTTTCTTCTTTTTCTTCCCTCGCAGTGAGAGAGAGAGAGAGAGAAGGGTG